GCATTACTAATGAGAAGTAGAAGAGTACAGCCCCTTCAGAAATGGGACTTAAAAAATTTACATACAGATTTACTGTATGACTCACCAATTCCACTCCTCGGTGTATATATATATTCAAGAAAAACACAAACATATCCACATAAAAATTTGTGCACATAGGTTCATAACAGTATTATTCATAATAATGGAAAAGTGGAAATGATCCCAAATGTCCATGACCTGCTGAATGATTAAATAAAACGTAGAATGTCTATATAATGGAATATTATTTGACAACAAAAAGGAATGAAGGGCTGATTTATTCTACCACATGGGTGAACCTTGAAAACCCATATTGAATGAAGAATGCTGATCACAAAAGACCACATATTTGTGTAATTCATTTATATGAAATGTTCAGAATAGGCAGATATACAGAGATGGAAAGTAAATGAGTGGTTGCCTAAGACAGGGATGAGTTGGAAGGAAATGAAGAGAGGCTGATAACGGGCTTGGGCTTTCTTTTTGTAGCCATGAAAATGGTCTCAAATTGATGATGATGCTGGTTGCACAACTCTGTGAATATACTGAAAACACTCTGTTTTAAATGGGTGAATTTTTCAGTATGCAAATTATATATTAATATAGATTTGTTGCATCAATTTATCAGTTAAATACATCTTCACACAAATGTTATCATTTTCCCTAGACTAAAACGAATGAAATCTTGTAAGCTACCCAACTACCATTGTTTTCCTTGACTCCTTAACAATAAACCTTTAACAATAAACCATGAAGCATTTTCCTTTCTCTCTTTTAATTCTTTTATGAAACCCGTCATTCAGTGTTGTTTATTCCTCTGGTAAATACTTTGTAGGAACTCAAGGTAAATTGACAGGTGAATAACATCAGCAGGAAATTCTGTCCTCTAAATTTCATGTCCTATAAAATCAATTTTTAAAATTTAAATTCTACAGCACAAAATAATTAAATAAAAGAGCATATAGATGACTCTTAACTTGGGAATATATTTCATATAAGAAATAAACATCACAGGGGCGCTTGGGTGTCTCAGTTGTTAAGCGTCTGTCTGCCTTCGGCCCGGGTCATGATCCCAGGATCCTAGGATCGAGTCCCACATCAGGCTCCCTGCTCTGTGGGGAAGCCCACTTATCCCTCTCCCACTCCTCCTGCTTGTGTTCCCACTCTTGCTGTGTCTCTCTCTGTCAAATAAATAAATAAAATCTTTAAAAAAAAAAAAGAAAGATCACAGAAAATAACTAAACTTTAGTATCAGTCATTGTATTTAGCTCTAAGGACCTAAGAGAGATAAAGTCGGTAACTAATAATTCCAACAATAACCATCAAAAAAGTTCAATGAAAGTTATCAAGAGAGTTTTAAAATTTCATTTAAATAGGAAAAATAGAATACATAAATAATGAAATATTCTTATAACCAAAATATAAACAATTTAAAAAATTAACTTATTCCAACTTATTTAACAACAAACAATAGAGATCCATTTAAAAGAAAATGAAGACAAAATATTTTAAATGCTTATCTTCCAAATTAATTTAAAGAATTAATGTGATTCTAATCAAAATGTCAGTATGACATTTGGCATCTGGGTGGCTCAGTCAGTTAAGTGCCTGCGTTTAGCTTGGTCATGACCCCAGGGTCCTGGGATCGAGCCCCACATCAGGCTTCCTGCTCAGCGGAGAGTCTGCTTCTCCCTCTGTCCTTCCCCCTACCTCATACTTTCTCTCTCTCACTTTGTTCTCTTTCTTGCTCTCTCTCTCAAATAAATAAATAAAATCTTAAAAAAAAAAAAAAGAAAAAAGAAAAAAAAAAGAAAATCCAGTAAAAAAGAAAATAAAATTCAGGAGAAATAAATAAACAAATCTGTATCTTTTTAACTTGGAAAAGTAAGGGAAAAAATGGAGCTGCACATTTCACACTTCGGTATATAAAACTTCTGTTATAAAGACCAGGAAAGGCTAGTGTAAGACAGGAGAGCAAGGTAAAGAAAGGGATAAATGAGAGAGCAGGTATGTTCCCTATCTAAAAGTATTCTAGTCAAATCTTTGAAAACAGTATGTGTTTGGTGGTTCAGTCCATTGAGCTTTAGTCTCTTGTATTTTTCTCACGTAACAATCTCAGGGTCATGAGATAAGATAAGAGCCCTGCTTAAGGCTTCACGCTCAGCAGGAGTCTGCTGGAGATTCTTTCTCTCCTTCTCTCTCTGCCCCTCCCCCCACCAACTCTCTTTCTCAAGAAACTTTAAAAATATATAAAAATTTAAAAATAAAATAAAAACGTATGCATTTGCCACACTTTGTATCTTCCTAAGCTCTTTTTGAACTGATCGCATTTGGGGATGCATATTATACATCATAATGTCTAGAGGAATTATACATGGAAGTTATTTATGGTTTTAGCCACAGCTTGTTATTATTACTATTATCTTGCAGTAATTCTTAATGAGGGGATGGATATTTGATAGTCACTGGGGTTTTCTTCAAACTATAACTCTCTATGTTCCATAATGCTCTCCCTGATGAAGAACAATTATCTCCCTGAGATTCATTGCCTTAGTTAACCACAGATTAGGTTTTATTATATCTTATGTGTTTTTGTGGAGACAAATGTGTGAGTACCACTGATCTAAAGTGAAGCTGACTCTTTTTTTAATGTATTTGATTAATGTAGTTAATCAACAGCAGCCTCCATGATTTCTAGTTTTTATTCTGTGGATTGGAAATCTCAGCAAATTGAAATCTCACTGCATTTCTGCCATTCTCTAAGGCTGAGAGTCTGTCAACTCCTGTTACAGGAGCTCTCCCGGCCACCCCTCATCCTGCAGTTTGCTAGAGTTCTCACTGGAGGGAGAATGGACATTTTGACAAACCAAGTTCAGCACTTGACTGTCAATATCCTCATGCCACTCTGCTGCCTCTTGGATTATCTCCAGTCCCCCTTAGGGACATACATACTGTGATCTCATGCTCCCTAAAGTATCCCCACTGAGCAGTCTTGAAGTTACGTGATTATCCTAAGAACAGAGGCAAATGTGACATTTAAAGGTTCTTTTTACTTCAAGCCAAATGTAGGGGTGACAGTTCCACAAGCAGTTACTTGTCAGAGTTTAATCACTAAAATCCATACACTTCCCCCCCCCGCCCCAGGGTTAGTATATGGAGATCTTCTTTGAGAAAAATATTCTGATATACTTAAAAACACTTCACATTTGGAGTCAAAATGCCCCTGGCCTTGCTATTTACTAGCTGCACGTGCTTGAGCAAGTTACAGTCTCCTCTGCTTGTTTCTTTGATTTAAAAATATGAGTATATTGGCATAGTACCTACCTTTCAATCCCCATAGTGACATGGTTGTCTAAATGGAGATCATGTATGCACGAATGCATGTTAATTATTATATGTGGTAAAAGTCATGATCCTTGATTAGACATGAACTCGATATTACTTTATATGCCAAGATTATTCTGAACTAATATAAAGTCGAAGATTTTTATTTTCATTTATGTAATTGGTAACGTTTCAAACCAGTTCATTGGTAATAATACAGGATCTTGAAAACAAAAAAATGATTTTGCAATCAAGTATGTAACATAGAAAACATTAGGCATTTTCATAATTAAGATAATCTAAAGTTTTTAATAAGCTGCATTACACTGGACTGCTACAAGTGCACACTCACTGTCTTACTTCTTTTATAATAGTGCTTTTGGTGTTCCATTGAAACATGGCCAGTGAATGCACAATATTCTTAGTTACCATTATGAGGGGCTCTATATATTACAACGTCTCCACTGTGTCTGCTGTTAGCTAGAAAAATGCTGGGAGCAACAGCAGCTACTATCAACAGGGAGCCATATTAATTATTTGAAATGTGCCTCATAAGAGGAATCAGCAGAGTTTATTACAAGTCGAATATTACTTGAAACGGGAAGGTTACTCTAGCTGTTATCATAATCTATGTATCATTAACTTTCCTTGTTTAGGAAAAGAGATTAACAACCCTGTAAATTGCTATAGTAAATGTGTAAAATATAACTGCATATTCCCATTGTAGAAAGAAATTGGTGAGTCCTCTGCTTCTACCCAAACCTTTTTTTAAGAAATAGTTTTAAAGAGTAGCTTTAGAAATTGAACTGACTCTGTGACTATGCCTTCTTGTCTCGAAATTCTAATTGCTTACTGAATCATCAGTATACAAAGCACAGCTACTTTGAACATAAAAAATTTTTTTGTTTGTTCTTAACCCAGCAGTTTTTCCAAGCAGCGTCTTGGCCTCCAAATCAACACCTTAACTCATAAAACAGAAATTCTGTTACAAATAGTGTGTGAGCTGGTAGCATGGTTTGCAAGGAATAGAAAATGAATTCATCTACCTACTTTTTATATCCTGGCTAGTTATTGTTCTTCCATAAAATACACTAAGCAGGTAGGAGTAGCTTTCTATTCAAATAATAGAAGTAAATTCTAAAAACTAAAAAAAAATTACCCAGAGTTATAAAGTTATCTAAGTAACTGCTACTTGTGTGTTATTTGACATTGATGACAGCCTGCAGACTGCATATTACTGGTCTGGGACAATGAAAATAAGTGTATAAATTGAGAATAAGTGTTTAGAAACACTGCAAATTGAGAGACTACTTTTCGGTTTAACCTGACAGTAAAAAATGTGGACTTGTGTTGTTTATGTCTTTTTTCTTTCCATTTTATCTTCCTTGTAAATCATTTTCACTGTATTTTTAAAAGTGTCATTCCACAATAAATGTGTAATTTAATAATAAAAAAATAGTTTAAGAAGGACTGATTTAATTGCTTGATGTTTGGATGATGCATAATGCTCCTGTGTTTGAATAGATTTGTCGACGTGATATAATGAAAATTAATTCAGTGTGAAGACAGATAATATTGCATCATTAAAAACAAACCAAAAAGTGTAAAGAGACATAACTGTAATGTCTGTTTAACATTTATTTTTGGGTCCACAGGGCAGGCGCATCATGGGCAGGTGTCCTACATCTCTCCACCAATTCACCTTGACTCTGAGCTAGAAAGACCTCCTGTTAGAGGTGAGTTGATTATTATTACAATGATCATCATTATTATTTAAAGGAAAAGAAACCCTATTCATTATTTTTGATGAAGACAATTCAATTACAGATAGTTATAAATATATATTTTATAAGGTAGTTCCTATTTAAAAAGTGGGGAGGGGGCATAGTGTACAAGGAATCTGATAACAGAAAGAGGAAATCTTATTTATAACCTAAAATATGAAATACTGTTCTGAGAAATATTTGTAAACAAAATAAGAAATAGGGATAGATAATGATTCAACTAGTGGAGGACTAATTGAAAGCCAACTTAGATTCAGAGATTAGCAGATAACCATTACTTTTTAATTATAATTTTCTTCTTCTCCTAGCTTTTTAAAAATAAATTAATTTATCTTAACCTAAGGCATAGTGACAGATTTATTTCCTTTCAAAGTGATATTTTATATTTCATTTTTAAAGTCTTTTTAGTATTAATATGATCATTTGGTTTAAAAATATATAAATTAAAATTAAATTGATGCCATCTGTTTAAAGATTCTTTTAAAATAACTAGTCATACAAAACAAAAATTAAAAGTAACATTTATTTTTCCGTAATCTACAGAATTTGTCTTTCCACTTTTAAAGAAATACTTATTATTTTCAAAATGTATTTTAATGTTCAAAGCTGATGTGACATGCACATGTTTTCTTTTTTATTTTTATAAATACCAAATATTCTAAGGTTATTTTTTTAAGAGTTAAGTGATGCAGGATATTTTCTAATACCTCCAGTAGTATTAATCACTTGATACAATAGAAGTCATTAGTCTGCCTTCTATAAGCATGTTTTCTATAGATGCTATTTCCTCCTCCGGTGGGTTTCTACCAATATTTGAAGGTTCAGCTTTATCTTCAGTTCCGTGTCTATGCACTGTGGAGGAGGAGAGAACATGTGTCTGTTCTCCAAATGGCCCCTGTGCTTGCCTCGGGTATTACCTGTGAGACACTATCTGCATATTTCCCTTTCTCCTCCAGCCACTGGTCTATGCTTGGCACATAGTAGGAACTCATACAGTGGTTTCTAAGTAACAAAAAGTAAAGGTGACAACCTACGTTCTGAAGGATGCAGCCTCCTTTTTCAAGACAAAAAGGAAGCAGGGAGGACAATGAAATCCACGAAATGGAAGCAGAATGAACCAAAACGGATCTGTGAAAGTTGTGACATTTTTTTTTTTAAAGATTTATTTATTTATTTGACAGACAGAGATCACAAGCAGGCAGAGAGGTAGGCAGAGAGAGAGGAGGAAGCAGACTCCCCGCCAAGCAAAGAGCCCAATGCGGGGCTCGATCCCAGGACCCTGGGAACATGACCAGAGCTGAAGGCAGAGGCTTTAACCCACTGAGCCACCCAGGTGCCCCAAAGTTGTGACATTTTTAAGGAAATGTGTTGGGTGCACAGGAAAGTGAGAGCAGTTCTAGAGGAAGAGACTGACAAGACGTTATGAGGCAGATTGGGAAGGATTCTCTATCACGTGGAAAGACGTTTGCATTTTACCCTAGGGGGGAAAAAGGTCATGAAATATTTTAATTTTTTAAAAATTGTTTTGCTAGGGGCATGTGGGTGGCACAGTTGGTTAAGTGACCAGCTTTTGATTTTGGCTCAGGTTATGATCTCAGGGTCCTCAGATGGAGCCCTAGGTGGGGCTCTGCATTCAGCGTGAAGTCTGATTAGTTTCTCTCTTCCTCTTGTGCTGCCCCTCCCTCACCTTCTCTCTCTCTCAAATAAATAAATCTTTAAAAAAAATGTTTTTCTAAGTTAGTGAGGTTTTTCATTATAACATTATGTTCTTGATATAAGAAAAAATATCTCTGATGTCAGTATAGATGAGGAGAGATTAACAGAAGGAGGCTGTTTCAATAATCTAGGTAAAAGATGACTGGGAAATTAGCATAAAGTATGTCCACTAAAATGGCAAGGTCTGAGAGTTTTTTTTTAAGAGTTTATTTGTTTAATTAGTTAAGTTTGAAGTATGTCCACTACAATGGCAGGATCTGAGGAATATTTTTTTAAAGACTTTATTTATTTATTTAGAGATTGCGTATGAGCATGGGGGCAGGCAGAGGGAGAGGGAGAGAGACTCTCAAGCAGACTATGCACTGAGCTCATTGAGCTTGACCTGGGGCTCAATCCCTCAAGCCCAAGATCATGACCTGGGCCACAATCAAAGTTGGGTCCCAACCCTCTGAGCCACCCAGGCCTCTAGGCCTAAGAAATATTTAAAGAGACATGGCATTTGACTGAACCGATAATAGGGAGAAGGAACAGAAATGTCTCTAAGATTTCTGTATCTATCAGCTGCTTAGATGCTTATGACATAATCCCTCATCATGAGGAACAGATGAATTTTAAATTGTTTTTTTTTTTTTAAGACATTTAATCCTTGGTACAACATTGTTCTTATCCAAGATGGATGTCTGTTTATGCACATAGGTGACTTTAATATAATTCATTTTTTCTGACATCATCTTGGACTGATTTGAGAAGAGTCCTGTCAGGTCACAGGTATTAGGGTAGTGTAACACAATATACTTCGAAAGTTAGTGGCTTATAACAAAAAACATTTATTATAACTTTCAGAGTTGGTTGAGTTGTATGTGTGCTGACTTGGCTGAAGTTAGATGTTTAGTAGCTAGCAAGCTGGTTGATTTTGCAGGGGAGGAAACTCAGTCCACATGCTTAGTAGCCACCTTAATGTCATCTGGGATGATGGTCGTATGAGGCCCATCCAGCAGTCTAGCATAGGCTCATTCCTATTGTGACAGGATTCCCAACAATAGGTAGACAAGTCCCAGAGCTCAAATATTTTTCAAGACTCTGCTTACATCCTGTTTGCTATGTCTCATTGATCAAAGCAAGTCACATAGCCAATCCCAGACTTAAAAAGGGAGAAAATGATTCTTAATGTTAGACTGAGGGACCACAATCCAAAGGACCATGGATACAGAAAAAAAGAGGAATTGGGTCATTTCAAACTACCATAGCAAGTCAGGAAAAGGGTAAAATGAAGTGAGACAAAAATAATAAAGGAATTTAGAGCCAATTAACTTAAACTTGGGAGTTCTAGACCTATTTATCATGAGTTTCCCCAACCAGTACACAGAAGATCAGAAATAAGAACTTCACAGTGTCTTTGTGATGATTAAGAGTAATACAGAGTAGAATCCCGCATCTGGTAAGCCCTATATACAGTGTGGCTACCCTCCCTACTTTTGGGCTCACCGTTGTGCCACAGGGAAGGAAATTGGACTTTGAAGCCAGGCGGACCTGTATGACCTTGGGCAGCTTCTCTCTGTCCTCTGTAAATCAAGGATAATAATGTCACCCCAATAACTTTATTAGGATAATTAAAACAATAAGTGCCAAGTTCCTGGCAAATATGTACCATAACAAGACCCTGAAGAGTTAGAAGGTAAGTAGGCATTATTAAGAGCTCCACTGTAAAATAATATTATCTTGGTCAAAATAGTGATGGTATTGACCTGGTAAAGAATGAATTACTAGAATCCAGCAGTCATCTCTGCCTGATAGCAGCTTCAGATAGTACTCTCTACTTTAGAGTGATTGTCTTGGTAACTTCTAGTTCTCACAGTGTTCCTCTGCATACATTGACCTGGAACTCTTCTTTAATTGCTCTGTGATTAATGCAATTACATGTATAGTTACTAGCTCATGTGCCACAATTCTGAAATATTCAGAGAACAGTTAAATAAAGGTAAAGAGGTTTATATAAATCACCATAACATTGAAAAAATTGTTTTGCTTTCTTTTTTCTTAAAACTATTTAATATTTCATTAAAAACAAATATTGGAAATGGGATAGAGTTGGCATAATAATAGCATTATTTTGCAACCACTGAGTATTTCCTTTCAACTTTCAACCGTCACCCTCGATCTTCATTTGCTATTTATAATTATACTGAATACTGCTGCTTATACTTACACGCAGTCAAATTGTATAAACAAACTCCACATATGTCTATATCTATAAACAGAGAGAGAATTTCTCATGTATGTTATATTTTTCTATGAATTTATAAAATAATACATCAAGTTCTTTAAATAAAATGGAATTCTAGCTCCAATTATTGCTTTTTTGTGAGATATAGAATGATACACTTTGAACTCCCTAAAAATTAACATTAGCTAACCATTTCAGCTTTCCTTTTTCCTTTTCTCTTGTAATTATATACATATTGAGAATATGAAACATTTGTCTAGCTATTACTATGTCTCTATATATGTATTTTCTTACTTTCTCTTTCTGTACCAATTTCTACTAGTCTCCATGCGTGTTAATGTTTTAGGAATTATTGCTTTACACATTAATTCCTTATGCATTTTATAGACCTGTACTTTAATAGGAAAATCATATTTAATTTTCTGACATTCATCCAAGTAGTAACACAAAACAACGACATTTAAAATGTTATCAATGTAGTTACCAATATTAGCACAGGGAACCTATCAATAGAAAATATTAACTAACATATAGTAACACATCAGATTGCTTCAGATATTTTGCCATTTTATTCTGTTCTAATCTGAAATATTTTGGATTAAAAGTTGGTACTTTTATATATATTTAAACATACACACACACACGTATATATACATATAGATACAGTGATTATCCTTCGAGTATTTGAGATAGTGAACTAATTATTGGTAACTTTGGAATTGTGTTGTAAAACTCAATTCTGAAAAACAATTAAGCAAGCATATTTCCAAAAAATCATATTTTTGTCGCATTTTCTCTTTTTTTTTTTTGCCCCCTCAAATTCTTTATCACCTATGAATCATTTTGATTTTAATCCACATGTCACTATTCTCCCTCCTTTCAACTGTCTTGACTTCTTTCATTTTCTATCCTTTTTTTAGGGAAAAGATATGACATTGATGCATTCGTTTGTCATACATGTTTCTTCCTTAGTACTGTGCATTTTAATTCTACACCAACATGCTCTTAGTAA